CTAATAATTCAATTGCCTCCATACTATCTTCACCATAGTCAAATCAATAAAGTAATTCAACTAATCAAAGTATAATTACAACTAATCAAAGTACAACTGCAACTATCCCAACGAAAAGGAAAAATCAACATGTAATGAAAAACAAAACCAAAGACCAATTATGTCATCACTATCGACGTCATTATTGTTGTTGCCGTCGTCATCATCGTCGTAATTTGTACTATGTAGAATCAATTTTGGGAATCGATTCCTCGATTATCGAATTTATTTAATCGAGTTTGAAATTGATTCTGGGTTGATAATCGATTCCTATTCCCGATCTTGTGATTATAAAGATGTGTGACTGTATACATGTACTAAAATCAAAATCGGTTGTGCACCAAATATAAAATAGTAATGAATTCAAGCAGCCATTAAACAAATAAATGTCAGATAGTGATTTAGCCTTCATTTTTTCATTTAGAACATGCAAACTGACAATTATGGTTGGCATCAATATCTATATCAAATTCAGTAATTATATATGCTAGGATCACTTGAAACAAATAAATTTTATAATTTATCTCCATATCACGTTCTTTCATTTTCTGATTTAAGCCACTCTTTAATTTCTTCATGTGTTTTAGAATATTCTAAAGAGCTGTAGTACTGAAAAGACAAAATATTCAGTTTCCACTCTTAATTGATATAGCGACAAAGACAATTAATAATTACTTCATAAGATGTATGGCAGTTTAAAGAAAAGTGTGCGGAAAAGACCTAATCAAAATATTCTGAAGTCAATGGATTCATCGATTTGTTTTCTGCAATATGATCCAACATTTTCAATAATATATTGCACCATCAAAAAACGTTAGTTGTTGTATATAAGTACAGTTCTAATAGAAGTAATGACGATTAGTTTTTTTAAAGTAAGGAACAGTTTTAAAGTATAAGTATATAAAAAAAATTAATTTTGTAATGCCTCTGAGTATGACATTGTGCTCTTAAAATCAGCATAAAATACATTCTCTTTCCATATCAATGCATGCTTGAATGCCATTTGACGTGTCAAAAAAATTATAATTATAGTAATGTCATTTCAATTTGCTCTTTACAATTTTATTTTATAAATTAACTTATATAGTTTTTGATACAATTCTTTAAGCCGGACATTTCTTTCTTAATGTGCAAAGACTCGTTAACTTAGTAAAATTTCGCGCAATCGGATGCTCTTCATGATAGCTTTCAAAGGAGACCAATTATATGTCAAAATTTTTTCCGTGCGGACTGTATTTACAGTATTATGACTCTGCTCACAAAATGGTTGCTCTCTTATATAAATATCTGCAGCTTTGATGTGTGTGTGGCTTCCGTTTGGTACCTCTGGGCTCATGTAAGGAAGTACATGTACTCATAAATTTCTTGATTAGATTTTTTATATCGTTATCTGCTGGTATATTAAGTCCAAAATCGACTATCATGTAATAATATATCTCCAAGATGAAAGTCCAAATGTATAAATTTATCTGTGAATTTATGCAAAGATTTACGTTTTTCGTAGTTTGAATTACATGTACTACGTATTTGCATAGATGCATACGTACATGTATTAGAAAACAAAACATCTTTGTATTCATTGTTTCATTTTTTTGCTAATTGATCCGTTCTACCAGATTGATTTATAAATCATCCATTTTCAAAATATTCAGCCTTTCAAAAGAGATGCATTCAAAGATGTTGTAAATAATAAACTCGGCTTCCTGTTGCACAACTTTCTTTAAGAGATATATTATATTATGAAAAAATCTGTCAATTATAAAGATACTTTAGCAGAATATGTACAAAGCACAATTAGCTCTTAGTAATATCTGTTGCAATTGAATCGATAATATTTATATTATGTCAAATGATTATTATGTCTATTATGTGGTAAAGTGCAGCATTCAAAGTAAATAAAATTGCAGGAAAATTGATAATTATCAATAATATAAGAAATTTCTGGTATAAAAATTTTCTGTACAAAAAATATATGATACTTATATGAAACACAAAGTAATAATTACTTGGATGCTAGTTTATTATTAATCTATCATTTAGGAATGGAATCGATGATTTGTATGCAGCAATTATAAATTAACCAGCCAGTTCAGTTGATCACAATTTAACCCTTTATAAAAGGCTAATCAGTTCAAAATATGAATAAATTAAAAAGTTTTATAGATATGTTCGATTTTTTTGCACCGCTAAAAAGTTGAACTTTTATAATTTTATTAAACTAAAGCGCTATATCTGCAATAACATTTAATAAGCCAAATTTTAACTGTTTCTGATTATAAACTACCAACTAAGTTCAATGAAACAAATTACAGACTTGATTTTGTTTTGAACTTCTCTTTCTGACATAATAGTCGATTAAACATCTAATGAGCTCTACGTGTCTGTCATGTTTTTCAATTGGTTGTAAACAAAGTAGGGCATATTTTTGTTTTAACTCAACCTAAACTTTTTTATTAGTATTTCAAGGTGTTCAGCATTTTTTTCGATTTATGCTGTGCTGGTATTTTATGCATAATATTTTTGCAATCTCTAGTATCTCCCTATACAATGCGCCAAGGGTGACTTTTGGTCGGTATAACTGAGAAATCGTCTCAGAAAAAAATTCAACCATTACTTTCGTGCAGATATAAATGCAAAAATAATTCAAATAAAAATTTTCTAAAGTCTTTTGTAAAAACTTTGTAATGTCATCTTGTAGATGTACATACGCTATCACTATTGAGTGTTTATTTGTAGTTGGATTTTTAGTTATTTTATAATAATTAAGAGAAAGACTGACAATAGAGCAGTCAGAACTTATTTTCGAAAATCTTAACTATTAGAAAACAAAAAGCATTCATGTTAAGTTTTAGTATTGTTCATTTTTACCTCGTTTACAATATAAATCGCTTTGATATTTATCTTCTAGTTTAAATTTATTTCTTCATGACATGATTGCACTTGTAATTGTGCAATGATGATTTATAAAATCTCCTTTTGCAAAATATTCAAGGTATCTATTCAAAAGAATTTCGCATATTCTTTTATTATCGTTATATAGTCGGTTTCTTTATCTATACATTTTAGCTTTATATTTTTTTCTGATATCCAGCAGTACTCGATTTTTTGACAATCGAATCATGAGTATTGTGATTTAACTCTCATTGCAATAATTATCACTGTATATTCGACACTTGACACATTTACTACAATCATTCTATTTCGAGTTCACTTTATGTACTGTATTTAAAACTTTGAAGTGATGATTTATATGTTGGAAGCCTTTCGTTTTGTGTTTGTAAATCGACTTTTGTATTAAAAGACGACATATCGATATCGTGTATTATTCCAGTAAATCAAATAATTTCCTTCCATTGTGTTTGTGTTTGATAATTCATCAAAATCTGAAATGGTTTTTTTTAAGAATTTGGAATAATAACCATATTTATGTCATGTTATTTTTCATACGTTTATAAATACACTTTAACAAAAACCCACTCTAAAGAGAGTGATTGTAAATTGTGTAAATGGAAATAATATTGTAACAAAAAACAGACATTAAGAATCTGCATGTAATTGATTTGTAAAAGAAAGAGCCATTTATAGATCTAATTCTGAACTATTTGAAATTCATCATAATCATCAATATTAAAAAATCGATGATTTAGTTCGCTTAGAAGACCAAATTCATAAGTATATAGTTTACAATAATTGCCTTTAGAAGTAAACAAACCCAAGTCATAACCAGCTCCAAAACAAGGACCTCTTTCTTTAAGACCAGTTACACTATAACAAGATTTATATTTAAAGCTCCATTTGATCCCATAATGTCAGTAGAATCAAATTCATATAAAAGCTCGTTAATACTGTATGCCGTTTACGATTAGATTTCCATTCAAAAGGATTGTAACCACCAATAATTTTCTTAGAATCTTTGTTGTTGGTTGGTTTTGCTCCGCTTTGTTATTGGTAAGTGGTTGTTATTGACCGATCTTTGCTCTCTGTGTGGTTATGCGTAAGTCTGTGTGGAATGTTCAATTCGTGGTTGTCAGTTAGCTTCAATGATTGTTGGTTTGTGTAATTGGGTTTTCTTCCTTCTTTGGCATTTGATTCGGCTGTTCTGCTGGTTTGACAGGAATGGGACGACGTCCAACTTAAATTGCCAAAATTCCGTGGATAGTCAATATGCACATTTGCTTTTAAAAACCTGCATATTATAATTTAAAAAAATGTGCATGCACATATAATTTTTAAAATTTTTTAATGAATTTAAATTTAATTAAATTACTCGGCCTTAATTCTTTGCTGCAAATTTTTTTACTTCGCCATTTACCTTGATTCTAATGGTTTGCTGTTATTACACATGCCAACTACCACATGTTATAAATCTATTCTATTTTTCATTTTCTTGTTTTTTTTTTTTGGTTTGTATTATGATCACAAGCAATTGCAACCATGCCCCTTGGTTAAAGCCAATTTTTCGATGAACACTTGCACGGGCAAGCATTTTGTTTCTATATTTTTCATTTTGCGCGATCCCTTTTCTCGGATTATTGTTCTCTTCTTCCAAAATTATTTTCGTCTGGCGTATTATAGTTTGAATCTGAAAAAAACTTCGTAGGGAGATTTTTTGTGAGTTTCATTATCATAAACAATCACAATTCTGAGAACATCGATAACTTTGGTCTGGGAGAACTCATCCCACAACATTTTGGTTAAATGCCGGTCAAGTATTTGGTTGAACTTTCAATCTTTCCTTGGCTTTGTGGATGACGAGCATGGCTACTACCTTATATCTCAAAACACTGAATTACTGACGGCATTTGAGAATATAATAAAGTCAATAAAATTTCTTCCAGAAGACTTATTTCTTTCTTGCATTTGAAAGAAGATACTAGAAAATGAATTCATAGTGGAGCTATGATTCCTGTACAAGTGGGATCCACACAACGTCGGGTAGAGCAAATATCACGAGGTGCACGATGACATATTTCGGTAAAAAGCCTATTATTAATGACGATAAAGAAAATGAAATTCCAGTATGAAAAAAATCAAAAACTTCTTAAAAAATCACATGTTTTATCTATGAGTATTCAACCAATTAAAAATAATATTATTTTAAGTAGATTCCGCATTTTTAATTATCATTTATGAATTAACAAACAAGTAAATTTCGCGACGTGTTTGTGATTAGCGAATTGAAAAATATCAACTAAATTCTAGGGGGAGGGGCATGGCTATATCTCAAGTGTTAATATTATCGAACATCGATTTCATTAGGCTTAGAATAAGAATTATATGTAAAATTAGTTCGCCGATATTTTTAATTAATTCCTTAAATTTGATTTGAACATTGTTTTGGATTTCGTTTTTTGTTGGGCTTGATCAAAAAAATTTGTACTGGTCACCGATCATTATGATCATTATAGATCGCAGGGTCAGGGATCGGAACTCGTCCCAGATTCAATAAATGTAAAATCAAACCAATGGTCGGATTTATCAGACCTGGAATAGCTACAAGTGGGCTATGTACAATAGTAACAAGTGGCTATGTGCAATAGAAACAAGTGGCTATGTGCAATAGAAACGGTGTAAATAATGCAATTAACACCATTTAACATAAACTTTTCTTATAAAATGAAACGTTCGCTCTCCAACATTTTACCTTTCGAAATAACAAAAATTTGAAAATCACCAAGAAACTCGAATAAAAAAATCATGACCACCTTTAACAAAGTCGTTGGTCTCGCTCTGTTCTTAGCGATCTGCCTTATTGTTTCATCTAACGCAAGACCTATCCCCTTTGACGATCCTTCTTGGACAAGCTAGGATTAGGATCAGTGTTAAAACGGGAGTAAATTATATGTAAAATTGCCTCCCCGGCATTTTTTATTAGTACTTCATGTTAGATTTGAACATCCATTTTCCATATTTTTTGCATTTTTCGCATTTTTTAATTCTAGTGCCGGATTTGTTTTGCCGACACATATTATTTACCAAATTTTGCACAACATGTAAATATAATTCTTTACTTAATTAATAATCAGTAAATTAAATAATAATAATTGATGCAATTCTATATGATGCGTTTTTTTTGACTGTTTACGATGTAAATAATTAACGATTAAAAATTTTCGAAATTTAAATAAACTATTCTTTACCACTCTGTATACCCGCCTTTAGCCTCGATTACATCATTTATTCGTTCGGACATACTTTCAATTAGACTAGTTAAAAGTCATGATCCGTTTCTATTTATACTTTTGAATAGCTTTCAATAACACATCTTGAGCATGAACTGGATTTTCTTCTTAAACATATATCCATCTTATTTCAGAGATGTTCTATATGGTTGATGTTGGAAGATTGTGGTGGTCATTCTAATACATTAATATCATTATCACAAAACCATTGCTCCGTTAAATTTAGCTGTGTGTTTTGGATAATTATACTGTTGGAAAATGATACTGTCCAACTCATAATGCTTGATAGTTTCTAACAAGTTATCATTCAAAATTTTGTAGTATAATCCTTATCTATGATAACAAAATACGTATGATGTTACAAACACTGAAGAAAGAAAAGCAACACCAGATTACAATGCTTGCTATATTGAAATTTGTATTTTCAAAAAATATATAAATAAATGTGCTATCTGAGTCTTAATTTGATTAATAACTGAAAAATAAAATTTTCTTTTACCAAAAATTTTTTTCCAAATAATATCCATTTCTTCTACTCTTAATTATACATATTAAAACTTGTATACAAGTGGCTTTGGATTATATTGTACTGAGCAAAATGCTATAATTGAACTTATTGGCTTTACATTATATTGTATCAAACAAATATTATTGAATTTATTGAATTTGATTAAGTATATTAATTTTTGTTATTTTAATTTTGTACTGGAATCCAAGTTGTTTTAAGTGTGATATTTATATTTTTATCAAATTGTACTTGAGATCTATGTGATTGAATTATTATTCAACCATCATGTTTGAGCATCAGAAAGTTTTAACTTCTAAGTGTTGTTCTTTGAATTCTTCTTTATTAGTTAAAAATTCATCATCTGATTTATCAGATGATTCATCAGGGTTATTATATTTTTATGCATAGATAAATTTGATTTTAATATTTCCTTTTTGGTTATTTCAATCGAAGAATATAGTTTCATTATGTAAATTTAGTTTGGTTTTGATTTTATTTAACCAATTTATTTCAAATACTACATTATAAATATAAGCTTCAATAATATTGACATTAGTAGAAATTATAATTCCAGCAATAGTAATTGAAAAGTTATTAATTATACCAAGAGATTATTTAAAATTCATCATTTATATCTGATATTATAATATTGAATTTTTATTAAATTTAATACTATATTTCTTCAGGAAATTGTTACTAGCAACATAATCAAAGGCTAGTGTTCCTATGAACTGAACTAAATTAGACTTTTGCTCAGGTTCAAAATTCAAATTGAACTTGAACCAGACTTTGACTTGAATTCAAGAAAGATTTGAAGTTCGAACTGAACTTGAACTAAATCATTATACGAGTTCAAGTCTGGTTCGAGTTCGATTAAAGATCAGCATATAGAATCATATACTGATTTGTAGCTCTAAATATACGCTACAACATTAATTATAAGCACAATTTATAGTATTTAGTAAGAATTAAATGTTTATATAGTGATAACTAAAGTATTTTTATTTTTATATTTATTAAATTTGATCTTAAATGCTATGTAACTCTCTGAATAATTGTTATTAATGATAATTATCTTATACCAATTTGTAGCACTTATTTCTGACTACAACATTACTTATAATTATAGTTTATAATTAATATAGCAAAATTAATGTTTATTATACTAAAACTTAAATAAATTAAAATCATAATAATTAAAATTATTTTTTAAATTCATATAACTTCTTAAATATTTATCCTAAATATTAACTATCTTATATCAATTTGTAACTCATGTTACAATCTACAACTTCACTTAGAGCATTTACTTGAACTCAAATCAAACTTTTTGTCAAGTTCAAGTCTGGTTCAAAATTTAAATTGAACTCGAACCAGACTTTTAATTAGATTCAAATTTTTGAACTAGACTTTTTGTCAGATTTGAGTCTGATTCAAGCTTGAACTGAACCAGATTCGAACTGAACCAGACTTTTTTTTAGAACCCTATCAGAGGCACCAATATTAATGATTAAATCAATAGATACTATTCTAATTTTAGCTTTACACCAGATAAAGATGATTTTAATCTTTTGTCCAACTATTCCAGTGACTTTTCTGACAATTTTTTATTTGGTCTAAAAGATTATTATATAACTTTAAATATTTTAAGATATTGTTCTAGAAAAGTTTGAATTAGTTATCTGATTATAATATTAATCTTATTGGTTATCAAGTTATTTAAAATATTATATAAAACAGATTTAATAGCAAAAACAGATAATACAACTTTGTTTTTCTTTTTTTTTAATCTTTTATTAGTATAATAATTCATGCAGTGAATATGAGTTATTTAACTTGAATTTCCAATAGCAAAATATTTGATATTACTGAAATACTTAATCTAACTATAATTATGTCTTCATTTTTAACTATATCTGATTTATCTAGTTTGATTCTTTTTTTGATCTTCAGCTAGATAATCATGAGTAACAAGTAGATTCAAGTTGGTGGAACTCAAGATTTTAGTTTGTTGAGAAAGATTAAATGTTTAAAGAGTAACTAATAATAGTTGAATTTGGAACAAAAAATTGATTTGGTTATTATTATTATTATTCATTAATACTAATTGATTAGGAGTAATATTTGTTTTAATAAAATTATTGTTGTTATTATTAGATTAATTATTTTGGTTGATCTAAGACTATTAATTTCTATTAAAATTCTGATAATAAGTGCTTTGATTATATAATTTATTATAATTTCTGAATAGATATCAAATTTTATTATAACAAGTTAGAGTAAAATAATTATTGTAATAATAGTATTTTTGCTTATTATTTCTGGATTATTATATTGATCTTTTAGAAGTTTCAAGAATTTTTAATCTATTGATCAAATTTTGAAGCACTATTGTAAGTTAGTTAAGATTAGCAGTTAGTCTTATTAGTATTTGATGATAGTATTATAATAGTAATATAGAAATCACAAATTCAAAAATAATTAAAAAACATGAAAATTTCAAAAATATTCATATAATGATAAAATCTCCTAGTATAATTTCACTTTTCATTATTTCATTATTTATTATTTTACTTTTTATTTTTCACCTTTTATTTTTTATTTCTTAGAAATTTCACTTTTTATTTTTCACTTTTACATATATTATTTCACTTTTTATTTTTCACTTTTACATATATTATTTTACTTTTATTATTTCATTTTTCATTTTTTCACTTTTATTATTTTACATTTTCAATTTTTTACTTTTATTTTTCACTTTTATATATATATTTTCACTTTTAGTTATTTCACTTTTTAATTTTTCACTTTTTATTTTTCAC